CTTGACGCCTCTTTATGACATTCAAGTTGAAACAACCATCAATGGTTGAGGAGGGACTGGTGGCAACAAATTTAGGGGATAAGCTACAAGTAGCAGTGGGGTTAGGGGGGAATGGTAAAGAAAAAGATTGGCAATGAGTGGAGAGGAGAAAGAAGATGGATGATTAACAGTGAAAAGGAGCGGACACAAAGACAGTGTGAGCTGGCAGTGGCAGCGAAAATTGTTAAGACCAACTGAGATTGGGGATATGGGCTTGTGAGAGGAGAGTGAGTAGCAGTAGATGCGAAAGGAGAGGACAGTGGTCACCGAAGGGGTTGGGGGCTAGCAACCTAGTGTAGGATTGAGGGTGTGGATTGCAGCCGGTTAAGGGATGAAGAGGTAGTGACTGGCCAGAATATGAAGAAGAAAGAGTTCACAAAATTTTACTTGTAAATTTTTTTTTTCAGATTTTGGAATCAAATATGGGATTCATCAAAACCCCCAATCTAGTTGGGTATTGAGAGTGGCTGACTTTTTATAATTCATTTCAGGGTTTCAAAACCCATACCCATTAGTCAAGCAACAATTATGGGATTCAATCCAATTATGGGTTCCTATACCCTCTAACCAAGCACCCACTTAGTTCACCACATTCTCTACTTGGTAGACAGATAAATTGGCTGTTTGCTTTCCGATTATCATGTTATGTTATGTGTTTTTTTTTTCCTGAGTTTGTATTTGTTTCTTTGGGTGATGTTATTACTGTTTATGATGTTGCCTTTAGGTATCTTTTGTCTTGGGTAATTATGCAGAATGGGCTCAAGTTGTATAATGCACTTAGTTCACCACATTCTTGGTTTTCCCTGGGTGGCCTTTCAAAGTTCTATTTTTTTAAAAGTGAAAAAACTGTTTTGCTATTAATCTTGTTCCTAGTGTTTGCCAATTTTGAGTTGATTGTCAACGTCTTTTGTAGGATTTCTTAAGCATCAACGACAGTTCTTTTTTAATTTCTACATTTGTTTGGAAAGAATTGTCATTAATAAAATCTGACTACTTTTTTATTCTAATTCTATATCAGTCTAACCTTTTTAATTTCATCTTAAACTGTTATTAAGTTCAGAACTCTTTTTTATAGTCTCTTTGCATCAATGCAGGCTTGCACAGGTTCACAGGGAGAGACAAGTGGCTCAGCACCACGTAGATCATGCTACCGATGTGGTGAAGAAGGACATTTTGCACGTGAATGCACTAGCTCATCCAAGGTTTGTTAGAAGCTTCTGCTCATCCTTTATACTGTTATTATCTTCTCATGGGACATTGGGCACCTACCTGCCTTTTACCCCTTGGTTTTGTTGGCTATGCCTACCGTGGTAATATCAATATCAGTTCAAGCTTCATGTACTGGATAAACTTTTCCTGCTTTCTTGTGCCCATGTTCTATTATTCGTAGATGCCAGTATTTATGAAATTTTGTACTTTCTACAGGGTGGCAAAAGGAATCGTGAGTTATCAACCCCCAAGCAAAGAATTTCCAAGGAACGTAGGAGTCGTATTGAGGTTAGATCTGCTCCTAATGATATTGGCAAGGCACGTGAAAAGAAGAAATCTAAACGTGATCACGGAGTCATGTCGGCTTCTAAATCAAAACCAAAGCATGGTTGGATCACTGAAGATCCTGGAGACTTTCTTGGTAGTAAACCCAAAGTAGCTGGTTGGAAATCTCCTGCAACCCCCAAGTATAAGAGAATTAATGTTTCTAATCATTATGCTGCTAGTAATGCATCAACTTCTTATTCTTCTGCAAAAGCTTATAGGTTGAACTATAGAAATTCAGCTTCGCCTGGGTCAGCAAACTTTTATCAGCCCAGATTTTTGGCGTCACGGTTTGACAATAGCAGTAGCGGTGGGATGAGAAGAAATTATGATAGGTAGGAGAATACCTTTATGAGCTGTGCTCTATGTTAAAGTCACGTACTTTGTTGGATGACTCCCTGGCTATTGAACCGGGCTGCTGAATCCTTTGATAATGTTTATGAGCAACATATACCTTTGGCTTTTCGGTCTGGAGTCTGGTTAGGGCAGGATAGGTGGATTGCTGAAGTTTGTAATTGTCTGGGGTTGATCAATCATCAAGAATTACTGGGATAGTAAAAATGGTGGAGAAGTGAAAGCTGAGCTGCAGCACCGTAATCGCAGATGATGTTATTGGCAAATTACTAAGATACCGCAGATTATGTCATTGGCAGTTCGTAAGATACTTGAGAGAACATTATTGGCTGTTCGTAAGATTAGCCCTTTCTTCTTCGAGTTCTAATGTTTTGCCTTTCAGACGTAAATATCCTCTGAACGTATAATTCCATGAAATCTTAATCATGAGCATTTTGATGCTTTTCTCCTGTAGCCATTCTGTTGTACTAGGTTCTTGTAACTTTGATATTTTAACCCCTTTTTGGCTTATTCATGAATCTTCTTTTTACTCACTTCCTGCTCAAGCTGGATCAATACTTTGACTTATAGTACATCTATTTTTTGGTGATTAGTCTTCTCTTTTAATCCTCTGCAGCTGGAAGTAGCATCATGAAAATCCATCATGTATATGGTAAAAGCACCAGCAGACCCACACATCTACCAATTGCATGTTCGAAAAATTTCACCTTCTAACAATTAAACCTCTGAGGCAATTAGAATTATGCCCACTTATTCTAGGTGTTGATAGGGGGACTAATGTTCTATCCATGATCCTGACTCCCCCTTTTGTATTCTTAAGATTCTTCAATTAGTGTATCAATTTTCATGAAAACAAATGTAATCAAAAGAACATGGTGAAGCTTGATGAAGTTAGAGATTACAGCATAAAAACTTTGACCATGTGAAAATCTTAACTTATTTTGAGTTGCATATGGTTTTATGTCAGAATGAGTTTAAGAGGTGCGCTTTAGAGGACAAACATGAACGGACAATCAACTTCGTTTCTAATTTTTCAGTCCATACGATAAAGAAAAGCCTTTTATTCATCCATAGATATTTTTTATTTTTGATAAATATTCATCAATAGATTTAGGGTTCAATGAGCAGATTATAATACGGCTGGACTTCGTAATGCCTAGAAATTACAAGATTTTGCATCGTTTGGATTGCCATTTTTCAAAGAAAAATATTTACAGTTCTCGTGAACATATTTTTCAATTATCTTTTTCACCTTATATATATCAGATCTCTATAGTGCATTTTTCTATATAGAACTCTCAAAAATAGCAATTTAAATGGAAAAGTCAATATAGAAATCTTTATCTTGTATTTCATCATTTCAAATTAGCTAAGTAGTTAAAAAATCAATTATGAACCTTTTTCACATAGCAAAGTAACACTAAAATGCCATAATGGCCAACAATGGCAATGAGTAGGATCCTAATCCAATAACTTGAGAAAGCAACAAATTCATTTGAACCGATCTATGGGTAGTTTTTGCTTCGTCTTGTCACCATTTTGGCCTCTATTACTATTAAAATTTTCAGCAGGGCAGATTAAAAAATTTTCATAGCAGGCCAGCTTAAATGATGCATTTGGATAATAAAGTAGTGATAATTCCATCAGAGGTGTTCTTTCCTTGAGCTTCATTATTGTCCTTTTCTTGGTTTCTGAAATCACTTTAAAGCCCAATTTTGGTTTGCAATGAATCAATTCAAGTTCCCTGTTCCAAAATTCATTGTCTAGGAACCTCCTGCACAAAAGGAAAAGGAGAGCACCCAAAAAAAAAATGTAAAAGGAGAAGCCTAAAAAAAAGATGGAGAAGCCTCAATTTTTGGCAAACAAAATTCACTTTGTAATACATTTTCTCCCTATCAAATTTCCAAATTTCTGATCTTCCAATCCTAGTTTTTTATACATCTATGCACGTGTATATAAAAGAAATTTACAATATTAATTTCACGATTTTTTTTTATCTTTTTCGAAACAATCTCTGTTATAAAAATAAAATCATGCCAAAACGCACAAAATAATCTAATACATCAAATTAACAAAAACAAAACAATAAAAAAAGAATAGAAAACAACTCCCAATTTCCCCATCCTCATCTCCAATAATCAAAACAAATTATAAAGAACCTATTAGCTTCTCCATCAAGTTGCCATTTCACTTGTGACCTCTGTCAAGTCTCAAGTCTCTCAACCTAAATCCAAGGTACAAAACTACAAACCTTCCTTCTGTTCTGCCTTCTCAATTCCCAAATCCCAAATCCCAAATCCCAATCTATACTTTTTATTTTCTCATTAACTCAAATATTGTCCTCCTTCATCACCCCACCTTTTCCAAATCATGCTACTTATCACCCATTATTTCACTTGTCCTTTTGACTCCTAATTTTGCCTTCCAAAGAAACCATTTGGTAACCACGGCCAAATCCAACCAACCGCACCTCCTCACAGCATAGCATAACATAGCAAGGTACCAGTTAGCGAACTTTCCTCCTAAAAAACCAAAAGGTCCCCATTTTTTCCCTTCCCATCTCATCATATATTCATATCCCCCATCTGATTTCAAAATTCTCCCCCCTCTTCCACCACCTCCTCCTCCTCCTCTTCCTCCTCCTTTCTCCTGATCCTGCATTTACTTTCCTTTTTTCACCAATCCAACTTCCAAAACCCTAATTTTCTCTCTCTCCTGAATCCCTACTTTTTCTTCCTCTCTCTCTCTCCCTGCATGAACTTCTCATCTCCTCTTCTGGTCATCTTGGTTGATTTCAATGACTCCTTTTTTACCCCTCTTAGGCACGCAGAAACACACTAAAAACACAGTTGAATTTCGACTACTGAAGCTTAGCCCAATAGCCCTTGCTTAAAAAACACTTCTTTTCCTAAAAGGGTTTGTCCAAAATCACTTCTTGGCACCAAGGAACTCAACTTTTCTTGCTTTTTTTCCCGCATTTATTTTTCCGGGTTCTATTCTTTACCCCCAGATTTTGATGGGCTCTTGACGTTTATGGAAATGACTTGACTACTGTTTCAGTGCTGTCAGCTTACCTGCATTGTGAGGAGTGGACTGAAGTTGAGAATTTTGTGATTACAATGTCGGATGACATGCTTATGCAATTTTCCTCCAACTCTTCCAATCAATCCGATCAATCTTTGCCCACTAAAATTGCGAAGCTCGAGGCGCGAATGGTGGGCAAAGCATCCTCTGCAACTGCAGCCGTCGCACATTCACAGCAGGCAGCCTCGTGGTCTGTTGCCACCAAATTCCCCGAGCCTCCTGAGAGCTTGCCTAATGAGCATCTGTCTAGTGATTCGGATGACAACGATGTGAGTGTTTAGGTTTTCTTTGTCTTTTTCTTTTTTGGATTTTTCTTGTTTAATGGATCACATAATATAGGCATAATGTGGTAATTCTAGGCTGTGAAAATGGGACGTTGATGTTTGTTTTGGGAAATTTATGTATTTGGAATTCTGAAATTATTTGCTGTTGTAAACCTGTTTGCAGAAACTCAAGATAATTCCCATACAATGGTTGAAATTTAATGCATACAGCTCTGACTATTGTGTTGCAGCTATTAGTTATATTGGGGAAAGGGAAAGAATTGCAGAAGCTACGGTTCTGGAAATGCGACCTGTTACATCGGCTGTCCTGTTTTCTGGGAGCTATTAGTTTGATAATGATCTTGCTGATGTACCTTTGATTTGGTTATCAAGTCATACAATGGGTTTATTTGGATTTGTCAATTTTTCCAAGCATTTTTTGCATCATAAACACGCTTTCAATCACCTTTTTATCTTTCCAATCAAATCACAAAAAGTGCTCAAGTATGATTCAAAAAAATTTCCAAATGATCTTCTAGCCATGCAACCCATTACTTTCTTAATCCATTTTTTTTCTTAATCTTGATATTGCCCATTTTCACTTGTTTCTGTCTGGATCACTAACGGATTCAACTTCAGATTCTATTACATTTTTGTGACTTTGTTCTTTCAATTGATGTGCAGAGGATGGATTAAATGCTTATGTTGTAGCGAAGAACTTTTTACATGAGATTCTTAAATGTTGTACTTTCCTGAACAATAAGGTTTTCATTTGTCTTTTTAGTCCTGTGTCTTTTTAGAGTTTCCCACTTTGGTTTTGAAAACATTGACTGATAGTTGAAGTCATATTCTGTTTGACTGTAGTTTGTTTCATATTCTGCCTCTGCTGGATATTGTGAGGTAGTTTATTGGGTGAATGGCTATTACAATTACAACAAGGAGCAAATCTTAATTACATTGATGATTTGCTTTGCAAAGTTGCAATAAAGAATATTGCACCTCAAACATATGTGTCTGTTTAAACATTTCTTTTGCTGCCATGGTTGTGGTACAGTTGGCATGCGCAATTTATTTCTTTTGATAGAATGTTGTAAAATAAGCACTGGAGTTGATTGATAAGTAGAAAACCAAAAGCTACATGGATGGCAGCTTTAGAAATGGCCCCCTTGACCACTGTTAAGCAGTACAAGAGTGTTTTAGTGCACTGCATGCATTTATTATCTGGGAATGAGGTTCCTCAGGTTGTTCCACTAGATCTTTTACTTTAGGAAAAAGATGAAAACCGATACAATGAGATAGGACATGCCATTATAGGGATGGAAGTAGTGAAAATAAGCAAACGTCTTTTCGTCCTGATAGTCCATGTGTTGATTCATTTCGTTGAATAATATCAACAAGTGCTGTTGGTGATTCATCTGTTGCACAAATTTCAAGGACCATAATATATTTTTGTTTACGGTTTGATATTTTCCTGCATGATTTTTCATAATTTTCTAATGATTGTCCAAAATAAACTGAATGGAACTGTGGAAGCCTCAGATAAATTGGGAGTTGACATAAGTTGGAATCTAGTTGGTGATGTTATTCCATTAATTCATCAAGAAATTTTAAAAATATTTAAAGAAGGATGATCCACTTGCAGCAGGTTTAACAATAATTGACTTACACAACTAGCAAGCTTCTCATCCTATATAGGGTAAGAAATTTATGGAACTGCTATCACATGGTTCGTGAAGTTTATAGAGCATACTATGTGTTTCAAACAGCATATTAAAGAAAATCACTTTTTGAATCTACTTAATGCGCCGTTTAATTCAAAAATTTGTATAATGAAAATTCTATTGATCTGGATAATAGATTTGTTGAATTAAGTATCTATATATAATAATAGAGCTGCTAAGTGTAGATTTCCTTTTATCTCTTGTAAATTGGTTCACTATCTTGTTCGAAGCTTTTGAGTTGAAGAATTAAAAAGAATGCAAAGCACGTGTTTCGTCAATGGTTGTCTTTAAAACTTCAGTAACTTTATCCTTGTCCAAGTTGCATTGCATTTTTCATCTGACTGTGGGAAGGAAAGGTCGTCTCATGTGAGGTTTCATTTCAATTTATTTGGTGCTTGGTACTTTCAGTTATTTTTCATGAGCGGATAAATTTCTGTGCGAAGGATAAAGCTAGAAGAGGTGGGAGAGAAAAAATGTTGGGGAACTGAGCACGTTGTACAAGTTTTTCATTTTATCTGTTCTTTTATCTATTGTCACCCTTTGCATCCAGTGTTGTACAATTATGTCTTTCAACAGCTAGCATACTAATACTTGTAAATTGATTAAAGGAAGTGGCTAACACTTACACAATGAAACATTGATAAAAAGGTCCTTGTGGTTCAGTGCACTTCTAGAGGGAAATAATAAAAAAAAACTGGATTTTGCTCAAATATTTGGTTTTCAATTGAGTGCTTCTCTTTGTTATAAGGAATGTTTAATGTGTTACACTTCCAATTTCTTGCTAAGCCAGTGAAGCATGATTCGAATGATTTCAACCAATTTTTAGACGGTCTCAATGCTATCAATTTTCAATAAATGTGCAACATTAATTCTTACGGCTTCAGAATGATATGAAATGTATCAGTACAGGAATTAAGTCCTTGCTCTTTTTAAAAGGATAGTGGATTTTGCATTAAGATTGTCTTTCTTTTATTGCATGTACCATCCAACAATTATTTAAATAAGATAAGTTAGATGAAGCAAAAGAATTGTGGAAGGTTGTCATTAAAATCCTTAGTTGATAATCATATCTCACATTCCGCTGGTGGAAATGTTCTTTTCTCCTGCTTCCTCCATTTTTATTTGCATATTTGTAACTATTAAGAGTCAAAAGGAAGCCTCTTTTTCATGTAACAATCTACCTATTTTTGTTGGTTCGGCCACTGAACATTTACTGTCGATGTAATGATTGCATGCGTGTAGTGCATTGTACGTCGCATATAGGTTGCATTCTTTTGCCTTGCCACAAATAAATGACATGAACATGCAGAAAGAATATGTATGCATTAGTGGGCGATGCCTATCTCGGTGATACTTTCCTTACATATTCCTTTAAATTTACATGTTCATTTTTAAATCTTTGGCTTGTAAACTTTCTCGCTGAGCTGTTTCTAGTTTTTGGGCCTTTTGGCAATTTTAGTCTGATTTTCACACACTGTTGCTGGATGTTCTTGTTCCTTTATTAAGTTTTTGCACTCCACAAATTTTGAAATGGTTTTAATATGAAACCTTGATTCTCCTCAGCCAAAAGCTTCATCAGCTGATTTGGATGAATTTGTGGTGGTAAATGAGAGCATGATTTAGTAGGCTGGCTAAATCACTAACTCTAATAGAAGATACTCCAATCCAGCGAACAAGTATTGTCAGTATGCTACCTCACCAAATTCTGTGCATGATTTCAGCCGGCAACAAGCTCTTTGGCTTTTGGCTTTAGTAGAGGCTCTAAATGGAAATGCTGTTAGATAGTTAGATACACTTTTAATTCATTAAAAAGAAAAAGATAGTCACTTGAGCCTAATTCACTTTTTCTTTTAAAAGTTGTGTGAACCCGTTCACATGCATTATGGTTTGTTCTTTATGTTGAAACAAGTATCCTTTCCATTACGTGGTGAATAATTATCGCTTCAACATTTCCTTAGCGTGCATTGGTATTTCATTGCCGTGGTCCTGTTGCACCTTTCGTGAAGGCTTTTGAATGTCCATAACATGATGAGTTTCTTTCTGCCAGAATGGAGGGGAATTTCTGATTCAAGCTAACACTCAGAAGCGGCGTAAATTGGACGAGGATAACAGTGGCATGGTTTTTGAACATGTTGAGGTATGCCTTATTATGGCTACTGCATTTTGGATTGTTCAATTGATTAATATACTGAATGTTCATAGTAATCCCTGGTTCCTAGTATGGTTTGGTCCTTTAAAACTTATTTCTTCCGTTATAATATCATTTATCTGGTTGTTCCTTCTTTGGGAACTTTAATAGCTACTAATTTTCAGATTTTTATTTCCCCAAATTAACATATATGCAAATAGGGACATACATCTCAGTCTGTGGCTGAGCCAAGACAGAAGGTTGTTGAGACCGTGGACACAAATAAGGTGGCTTCAGACACAAATAGGAAAAAACAAAGCCGTGGCAGGGGATATTCTGCCTCGGCTAGAGGGCGTGGTTCACGAGGTAATGATCAAACCAAAATTCAAACGGTTTCTCCACCAAATGGACAGCTTGAAAAGGTAAGCCTTCTTTAACATGACTATATCTCTAAGATAATTATTGCTTTCCGCTTCTAATTCTTAACTCTGTTCAAATAACCAAATTATAATGTATGGTTACCTTGTCACGTGCAACTATCTCTATACCAATGTCCTTTGCTTTGTACTTTACCTGATTTCCTTGTCCTAGAAAGTGTTGCAGATATATAAGAAAAAGTGGCTTACTGGTCAACAAAATTGAATGCAAAGATTTAAATCACCATATATCTAAAGTGTAATTACTTGAAAGATATTGTGGTACAGTTGGCACATGCTTCACTGAGGCTCTATTTAAATTGTCTTGGAAACCTAAAATCTTGTGCCAGAAAAAAAAATGATCGAAGAGAATTTCTGCGTTGGCTGTTTGACTGTTTCATCTAATGGTAAAGTTACTCATCATAGTCTTGATACTTTCCAAACTTTTGTTAATACTCTTTAAATTTTTTGCTTGCTACGGATTTGGAACTTTAAGATTTAGATGTCTTGGTTGACCGTCACAATGGTCATATTTCTGTGTTATGTAAACCTGATTTGTAGAAATTATTTAATGAAATTTCTTTATTTATTGGGAGTGAAAAATTGAGAACCATTTGATCCATGTCCGGTATCTTGCCTAACTTTTGCATATAGTTTGCATTGTCAATTAGTCTAGTTTGAACTAGATAATAGTCGGTCTTTTTTTCCCCCCTGAATAAGCTGTAGCAGTATATTAATTTGCTAAAAATGGTTTTTGGGTATTCAAATTGGGATTTTAGGTTATATCTCATTGTCGTTGTGAGTAATTACTGGGAATGTATGTAGCTGTTTTTTCATTGTTCTACTGGATCACTACAAGTAGTTCAGAAATCAGTTTTGTATTGACTGCCCGTGTTCTAGAATCTAGTGTAGCAGAAAAGGATGTTCCAACCTAAAAATATCATTACTACGTTGTAAAATACCCTACAGATCAACCAGTTTGTATTTCTCCTTTGTTCTGACATAATTTCTGTAATTTTGGAAGTGTAGAGATCTAGAGATGATAGGTGTTGCTTACAAATCAATCAAAATCAGGCCAAATCACTTCTATTGGATTGAATTGGTTGGCCTTTATTTGTTTGTTGTTTTCTTTTAAATTAATCTTGTTAAACTCTTGTGTGCCTAATTCTTATTGCAGGATGGGTGGCCCAAAGAGCAACTTCGACGTGACGATTTAAGTTTATTGGAGGTAGAAGTTTTCTGCGACAGCTGTATTCTTTGTCTTTTTATTAGTATGTAACTAAGATACAGTTTCTAATGAAAAATGTTGTGTGATTCTCTTGCAATTTTTTAGTCTTTGAATCTCCTAATAAAGTGTTATAGTTTTTTTTCACAACTTTAAATGTCAAAATCATGTACACCTAAATATATTTAGGAGGAGAACACAACATTACGCGAGAAGGTTGGAAATTTGGAGGAGGCATTACGGAAATCTCAACATTTAACTCAAGAGCTAGAGAAGGTATGATTCTCTTTCAGATCACTGCCACCTGCATTAGCATGAAAATTTACTGTTTCTTCTGCAATGTAGAATTCACTTTTCTATGTTATGATTTCAACAGGAGTTGAAGGATATCAAGGATATTGAGCAGCAGATGAAGCCAAAGGTACGCCATTCTGATCCTTTGCACTTACTTTGATTTGTTTACTTTTGTAATGACAAGCTTTTTGCAAAGGTGAACATGTTATCCGTCAAGTATCCAAAACATACTCTGGCATACAGGCTATTTTTATCTCCAAAAAGACAATTTAATTGATTCCAGTCTCTGATTTTTAAAGATCTAAAAGCTGATTGAAGCATCTAGTTCTTTCATTTCGTCTACCCTCTCTATTTTGATTCAAGTGATGATGTGATTGTGTCATTTGTCGTTTAGCAAGTGATCAATCAATGAAAAAGTGTACTTGATGCCAGCAGATGGTCCTTTACCTGGTTATCGCAATAACATTAATGATACATTCATAATCTTCTTGAGTAAGAATGCCATGTATAGTACAAAAAGTCAAAAGTAAGAATGCCTATGCTTATATATGTCCAACAACTGTTTAGGATAAAAGCTCCAAAATTTAGTTTTCAATATATCAAATATTATTTCTCTCTAAATCTCCTTTCCCCTACTGTTTGCTCACTGAGCGTGCATTAGGGTATAATGACCAAAAGCCATACAGTTAAGAATATTTACCTGGAATTTAGGTCATGATTTTATTTGTAACATACCTGAATGTAGTAACCGGTCAAATATGATCACCGATTATAGTGGGTCCTTAGAAGCATTAGGGGTGACTTATCTGCAGGTTCAGTCATTTTTGAAACTGGAGAATGTACATTCTTTCATCTAGAACTTTGCCTATGAGGTGTTTGATATAGTATCACTTACTTTTGACTTTTTTGCTAAGATGTTTCCAATGTTGTTAAACAATTATTTCCTGCTTATATTACGGATATATCATAATTCTGGAGTTCAGCTGAATAACTGTATGGCAAGGTGTTGGTGCAATTTTTATCTAATGCTGTTATTCCTTGTTTTTTTGGTATAGATGGAGAGTTCTCTTTTTAAGAAAAAAAATGTTAATATAGACGTCATCGTGTTTCTTGGTTCAGTGTTTCAGCTACTAATTATGTTTTTCTTTCTGGTTGCAGAGATTAAAAACATTATCTGATTTGTTGATATCTGTTTCAAAAGCTGAGAGACAAGAAGCAAGGATGAAAGTACGCCAGGATTCTTTGAGACTTGGCAATGTTGGAGTAATCAGGTAGCTTACTGTTGACTTCCCTTCTGTTGAACCAGTTAGCTTATTGGGTTATGATGAGAGGTTAGAATTTTTTCATGGCCCACTTTCCATCTTTTATTTTTGGGCCCAAGCATGAAGTATAGCAGAATAATACTCAAGGAGCAAGACCTGCATCTCCTATGTTTGGACACAGTCGAAATGTACACTAGCCTTATTCCTGCTGAAATCTTGGAACATAATTACCAAACCAAGCACAATTTCACAAAGTAGAAGGCTTGGAAATATCACAACATGAAGCATACGATAAATGCTTGATAGGCATGTATGTATATACATGGAAACTACCGGTATGTACGCTTTGAGTAGCTCTATTATTGAATGTTTTCCAAGTTTAGGAACAGGTGTTATATGCTGGCCCTTTTAAACATATATTTATGGGTGGTTGGTATGGGGTGGCAGTATTTGAGCCTTAGGGAAGTGGGAGTGGTCTTGGCTGTCTGTTTCCCTACACTTCTTTCTGTGGTGTTGAAGGAGTAATGAGGGGCAACTGGCAGTACGTTTTTTGTTGTATACTTGCACAATTATATTGAAATGGTGGGTTGCACGAGGTGCTCACGAGTTTAATGGTTCCTATCATCTGTGAAAGAACCCTAGCTGAGTACCAGTGGTGTTACTTGGGATGCTTGGAGTGGGTGGTTCTTATGATATTGTTGGAGTTCCATCTTGTATTGATGAAAGCTGCAAGGCTATTAGCTGCTGCTGGTGCTATGGGTGATGACGAAAGTATACCAGCCTTTGACAGAAACAAAGATGACTGAAATTGTGATACCTGCCTTTGATAAAATTGATGGGCTAACCTGATTAATGAAAGCTTCTTTTCTCCTGTTATCGCTTGTATTATATAGAAAACAAAATCTTTTTTGGGCTCTAAAACAAGGGCTTGGTTGCAATATCTTGGCTGGCTTAACCAAAGTCTTTTTAACAGATCATGTTCTCTTATTTGGTTGTTGCACATTTACTTGTTTTTGTGTCTGATAAATTTCTTCTCAACAAATCCTTTCTAAGATGTATATTTATTTCAGTTCTTTGCAAAGTAGCAGTTTGTTTACTGTTGAGGATTTTTTTCTCACTTTTAATGTTTTCCGCCCCTAAATTGCAGAGCTGGAACTCTCATTTCTGAGACATGGGAGGATGGGCCAGCATTGAAGGATCTCAATGTCCAGCTTGTATGCTTCTCTCTGCTTACATGGAGTAGTCTGATTTTTTTCTTTCGTCTTTTAAAAATAAATTGGCTCATTTCTACGAATTATTTGGGCTCACAAAATTTTTGTTTGAATTTGTAAAAAGAATCCAGTAAAGATCAGTTTTTACTTTTCCACTTGCTCTTATTTGGAAAAGCCAAAAATGATGTTGATTACTTCTGAAATTTACTGTTGCGGGAGTTGTTGACATTATCTGCAGATTTGACATTGTTGTATGTCCTCTTCTATGTTGTTGGCCTAATGTGTGGGGGTGATCTCGAAACCTGTTCTACATGAAAATGATGAGCATTACTTGCTTCAATACAGTACTTTTTATTGCTATGTAGTAGTTCTGCTCCTGTTATTAATCTAGTTTTGAATTTGATTGGTCTTGTATAATATCTGTAGTTCTGTAGTGTTATTCCTACTTGCAGTATTCTGGTTCATGATACTTTGTGAACTTCTGTCTGCAAACTTTTCTGTGGCATCTGATTGTAGGGTTCAAATAGTTGATTGACCTTAGGACTTCTAAGTCTTTCATGGTGTGGTCTGATTACTTATCTGATGGTTTCTTTTGGCAAGTTAACATGTTTATTATAGGAAAACAATCTTTCCTGTACCTCTGATGCATGAAGTGCTTGTGCATGGTACCAGATACTGTGTTAGTTGCAATTGTTCTCCTTTTGTTGAGTATTTTGTCCTTGTCATGTCAGTTTGTGGTTTCACGTAACATAACATTAAGATACAGTAGCTCAAAAAAAAAAAAAAGAGATTTAGTAACTGGTGCAAACATGTTATTTTCCAGAGAAACTTATTGGAGATGAAAGAAGCAATTGAACGGCAGAGGAAATCACTGAAGAAAAAGCAGCCAGGTAAAAGAGTTTTATATGTGTATATTCTTTTTCAAACTAATATATGCTGATAAATTTCACTACAATGACACTTTTCTGAGTCCTCAGCAAATAGCAGTTCCTGGGGTATAGGGTAATGTTGAAAGGTAATAAAGATAGGAGAATGCACAATTAACTACTTCAAAGTGTGGTTGATTCATGAGTGCACAAGGCTTTGAGTAGTATTTTAGATTGTTCCGTTGGGAGTCTGAAGAATGCAATGATTTCTGTTTTTATGGTTAGTAATTATTTAGTCGATTCTAAAAGATATGTATTTGATGACTAAAGCGTATATTAAACTCGATCCCAATATATGCTTGACAGTGGATGGTCAACTAACCATTTGCAATTTGAACATCCTTTTCCACATGTTTTTCTGCCATTTTCGTTTTGATATTTGGATAATTGTTTAACTAGTTTAAGAATGTGTTATCTAACTTTCTTGGGGGTGTAACAACATTCCTCTATGCAATGATACTGAAGAGTGAAGATATGTAACTAATTAATAATAGTCCACAGGCAACTATTAGTTCTGCAAATTGTATACATGAGTACAGTTCTTGCTTTTCATGAAGTGTCTGTGTTATTCTTATTGATGTGATACTGGTTGACGAATGGCACTAACAAATAATGATTATTGCAGATAAAGTTGATGGAACTGATTCAGAAGCTGGAGTCCAGGAAGATGATTCTCTCATTCAAGATGAAATCTATAAATCTCGTTTAGCTTGCATCAAACGTGTATGTCTGTTTCTTATTCTTTTATTGGACAAGATTTTTGTGAATATTGTCACTTTTAGTATCAAATTTCCTACAGGAGGAAGAAACAATTATGCGTGAAAGAGATCGCTATGAGTTGGATAAAGCAAGGCTTATAAGGGAAATGAAACGAATAAGAGATGAGGATGGCTCTCGCTTCAACAATTTTCAGATTTTGAACCACCGCTATGCCCTCTTAAACCTTCTTGGCAAAGGAGGATTTAGTGAGGTCTATAAGGTAAAATACTAGGATTCCTATACTCTGTTGCTTTAGAGGCTTCAATGTGTATGAGTTGCGAAGGAAATCTCCATCCATCCATATAAAGTGTTACCAATTTCCTTTCTAACTTTGAATATTTTGAAAATGGATATTCTGAGTGATTTGAATCAACATTGATGGCAGGCTTTTGACTTAGTTGAGCATAGATATGTTGCATGTAAGCTTCATGGTTTGAATGCTCAGTGGAGTGAAGAGAAGAAGCAAAGTTATGTACGACATGCTATCAGGGAGTACAATATTCATAAAAGCTTGGTACATAATCACATTGTGCGTCTGTGGGACATTTTTGAGATAGACCAAAACACATTCTGCACTGTCTTGGAATACTGCAGTGGTATGGTTGCTCTCGCAGTTGCATTTCACGAAACACAAATTGGAAATGTAGATGAATTATTATTTTTTATCTTGGAATGAGGATCACAAGTATTTTTAGTCACTTGTTTCAATATGTTTTGCCCATTCAGGCAAGGATCTTGATGCAGTCCTCAAAGCAACGCCTGTTTTGCCAGAAAGAGAAGCGAGAATCATAATTGTTCAGATATTTCGAGGCCTTGTTTACCTGAATAAAAGAGCACAAAAGATTATACATTATGATCTGAAGCCAGGAAATGTTCTATTTGATGAATTTGGCACTGCTAAAGTGACTGATTTTGGTCTTAGCAAAATAGTGGAGGATGATGTTGGGTCCCAGGGGATGGAGCTTACCTCCCAGGGAGCTGGGACATATTGGTGAGTCGTGCAACAAATTAGCTCTTCTGACTTGTCCATTTCTGGCATGTTCTCGTGGAAGAATGCCTTCTGCAATGATGATATAGTTTAATAGAGTTGTCTCTTAAGCTCTGTTTTTTTTTCTTTTTCAGCTCATGCCGCATTCATTAAATTTGCCTTTGGATCCATTGGCTTATATTTTTGTGGCTAATGCAGTTTCATTATTTGGCTGGTAGCTAGATATTAGCAGCCTTACGGTGATTTATGTTTTTATTATTCGAAATGATGTCCTGAATGCATAGTTCTATACTGAATTTCAGGTATCTACCTCCCGAATGCTTTGAGCTTAACAAGACACCCCTTATATCCTCAAAGGTTTGGTGAATGTTATATTTTATCTTTGATTATGTTTAACTAGTTGGAAAGCTGTAATGGCCTGGATATGTACCTGCATTTTCTGCCTTGTCTAAGGCTGCTATGCTTGTCTTTGCATTGGCCCTTGAAGCATCTTTTCGGCAACCTTTTAATGAGGCCATTATATTTTCTACTGATGTTCAATTGTGTGTTCTCGATCTGATAGATACTTGTGATTCTGTTCGAGAATACAGGTGGATGTTTGGTCAGCTGGGATTCTTCTGTACCAAATGCTATTTGGCAAACGGCCTTTTGGTCATGACCAAACCCAAGAACGAATTTTACGCGAAGATACCATCATTAAAGCCCGCAAGGTGGATTTTCCTTCAAGGCCAGCTGTGTCGAACGAGGCAAAGGCAGGTTCACTAATCATTTGTGTGTAAACTTCTTTGCTAATGTTTCTTGGGGTGATAATCTTCGACATCCTTATGTAGGGTAAATTCTCTAAGAGAGTCTGCGTAGGAGAGACTATATCATTGTTAATATGGCCACCACCACCACCACCACCACCATCACTATCACCATCACCAGCACTAATTGCTAGTGTTTATTACCACAATTTGATAACAGCAAAAGTGGGGTGTGAAATCGATCATCTTTCTTATACTTCACAATTTGATGTGTTTTCACTTGTGTAAATCTTATTTGACAAAAGTTTCAACAATTATCTCTTCAATTGATCTGTAATGGATAAGCATGCCAATCATGTGGATGCTACTGAGTTTATTCATGATATCCTCTTGTTTGTTTCATAATGGTTATTGTTTCCAACATAGTGGAGTCAATTTTTATGTGGTATTGAAGTGCTTCAAAATTTATTTCAGTATATGGGTTTTGACTCGTCAATGTCTATCCTTTCTGTTAGCGGAAGTATTCTGTATGAAATTCAATCGAGGTTGTCCATTTACAAACATGTCAATCTATTCCCCCAGCCCCAACCCCCACTTGTCTCTGGCAATTCTCCAAGCCAGATGTGCTGCAAATTTGAAAATCTCATTTGTATCAATGTTTTATAGCAGTTTCTGAGACAGATTAACATCTGGCTGACTGGCTCAGACACAATGTTCATGCTTCCTTTGACTCATATTGCAAGTCATAATATGGAAATGATTGATGAAGGAACAAAACGAGATAGACAAACTTGCTAGGTATGTCAAAAATGAAGAAACTATGATGATGATTTATTAAATAAAACTGGCATTGCTGATTCTCAGGAAAATTGATAACAATACTGTGGATGGATTTCTAAATTATTTGCTTGGCAAAGGAGCAAAATTTGTACCTTTAGGATGTTTCCTTGTTTAGCTTGGATTCTTGATTACAATGTTTATTTTAGTTTTTGGATTTTCTGCGATGAATGTTGTTACATGTGTTTAAAGGACATTTGCTGCCAAAAAACTGAAGAATACTTGTATATAAACTGCGCTAAATTTTTCTTTCATTGCTTTTGTTCTGTATGCTGAAGCAGTTACTCCTTTTATGTTTTGCAGGATTTTATTCGTCGTTGTCTTACATATAATCAGGCAGAGAGGCCAGATGTTTTAAGCATTGCTCAGGATCCATATTTGACATACACAAAGAAAAATCATAACAGTACATAGTGCCAACTCATGTTATAGAGAAAGCATTCCCTAATTTTGAGGTGAGGAAATAATCCCTCAATTCTACAGGAAATTTGTATAGTTGTAAAGGTTTTGTAATTATTGTCCCTGTTGTTCTTCCCTTGAGTTGGGGTTTCATTTCCTCTTTCCCTTAGCCCTTTAAAGGATTCATAGACCTTTCTGGTATGTCGTTACTAGTGAACATCTTTTTTGTCTTGGTCAAGGGATGGAGATTGAGGAAGAAAGGAAAGGAAATATAGTTTTTGGATGCTCTGGTTTCTTGACTAATTGTTTGGCTTTTCAACTTGTATTTCGTGGATTTTAAATCCATAAAGCTAGGGCTGCAAACGAATTTACTCGAACTTCTCAGCTGTTATACTCAGATTCCAATTTGAATTTTTCGACTTGATTCGAATTTTTGGACTCAAACGAAAGCTCAATTCGAATCCTAAACGAGTTTAAAATTTAAGGTTGAGTTTGATTCAATTTAGTATTCACTAGGCTTGAGCCCAATTCGGAGCTTAGAATTTTATTTAATTTTTTAATAATAAAATAGTAAATGCATAATTTTATAAAATATATTAAGAAACATAAAAATTTTAAAAATTATTTGAGTTTTATTGAACCTTAATCAATTGAATATGTACGAGTTGAATATTCAACTCGAATTTTATTCGATACTCTAATCAAATCTTATTTATTATTCAAACTTGAATCAAGAGTTGAATTGTTTGTTGGGGACCAGATTCAAAATTAAGCTAAGTTACAAGAGAACTTAAAATTAAGGCCATTTTACCTGCGCCTCAAGCTTTTTAGCCAAGGCATAAACAAGAGTATTAGCAGTAAGAGACTCTAAGAGCCCCTTAATATGCAGATTCTCTTCTCCATGTCATGTTTTAGGGCATCCCATGTTCTACCCATGACCAGTTGACCCCAAGTTAAATGTCATATGAAACTGATAATATTCTCCCATGCAGTTTATGGAATTTAACAGAAAACTCATTAATTATGCATTTATGTATAGAGTATACAAAGATCATGAACTATTCTATGTTGTTTTGAACATTTGATTTTATGATCATCGAGTCTTTTGTGTTATTTTCATAATATCTTTGCCCACATTTCACATTTTTCAAAGGAAGAATAGTTTTGATAGTTTCACCCTTGTTTGTTATTGTGAACAATGAACACTTTGCACTTGTAAAGATTGTTGAAAAAATTTTGGACTGCCTTCAATTGCTCATGCAATTAATATAAGTGGACTACCAAAATAATAATGCATGCATTTTTCTCTTTAAAATATTTTTCAAGAACTCACATCATTTTTAGGACTTGATAAAATTTTGTTGCATGATACCTGCAATAATTTCATAAGACATCATTTTAATAATATGTACATAAGATACCATTCTAATTACGTGCATTTGGGCACTCGAGTATAATCTTAAGAAATTAAGCGAACGATGAGTAAAACTTAGAGAACTTACTAAACCAAATTAGTCATAAAAATGCCTAATTATCAATTCAAGTTCATATAGTGATTTCGGGTTCAATTTTTAAAAACATTATATGAAAACTGAACAAAAGTTCGGATTTACATGAAAATTGGCAATACATGTGACATAAACGAAGTCCCAATTTTAACTTTATTATTTTTTCCTGCTTGTTGTGTGACTTAATATCTAGAATTCAATCTGGGAATAGATTTTGTATTCGATTCAATTCGTTTACAATCTAATTATTTATATCATGATGCAATCCTTCTTCAATTCAAATTCAATGGCCTGAGCCGGTAATATCCACTGTCCAAAAGGGCTTCAACGAAACAGGTTCTGTTTTTGATGCATGAGCCCTTGTGCTACCTTTCACACCAAAGTTGTGCCATTTCCATAAAAAAAAAAAAACCCAAGTTTTCACTATTTGGGTCGTAATAGTAATAACCATGGCCATAAGTTCAGGTTCAAATTGGAATCAAATCGGAATTGAATCAGCAATTTGTTAAAATAGAATTATAACTAATTTGGAAAATTGAAATCGGGGTTGAACTATGGTTGAAGGTTTTGGTTGAGGTTCACCGAAAGTTCAGCAGTATTACGCTAGTTTTAAAATGTTGAGTCAAAAGAAAAATAAAGCGCAAGTTAGTGAGAAAATTGAGATATTTTTCTCTTTTTCTTTTTTCAAGTTTGATAGAAAATTATGTATTTTTTGTTTTATGTAAAACATTCAACAAATATGAGGTGTGTTTTTCATAAATTTTTTTTTATCATCTTTCTCTTCCTTGTTAGCTAATAATAGAATAAAAGCCTTATTTTTTTTTTACATTCATTTTCTTTAGTTTCTCGTTACTCTAAATTCATTATTATATTTTCTTAAAATGAATTTTATAATCATAAGTAATTAAATGTACTAGAAAATCTGAAAACTATACCTAGAAAAATACTAAAATTGAAAATGATAGAAACTGAAATCGAAACTAGAATCAGCCTAACAAGAGTAAGTGCTAATTTGACCTTTGAAAGTAATTGGATCTGACTGTTCTAAAACCATGGTCATTTTTATGGTATTAGCCTACTTTTTTTTTTCTCTCTTTTTATTTCGCCGATGGAAAAAAAAGGCAAAAAAGAGGAAAACAAAAGAATACTGAGGTGCATCCCTGAAGCGTTTCTTTCACTTCAATTCAGCTGGAAGAATCGCTTTGCGGCAAAACCACAGCATAACAAATGACCCCAAAATCACAAAAATCCCAAAAATTTCATGCATTCGAAAACTTGAGGGAAAACCTGCAGGAGCAGCAGTAGCATAGAGTCTGAATATTTGGTTCTTGTCTTCATTCAGATTTCATCCCAAAAAAAATGCTCCATCTTTTTATCAGAAATCCCATTTTTCTTCACTCTTGTACATCATCAACGGCAACAGTAAGGTATGCCTGTTTAAATTCTCTTCTTTTCTTTAGTTCCATTCCCCAAATTGAAAAAATCCCGCCTTTTACTTCTTCCTCCCCTGCTGTAAACGACGATGTTGAGACTGTTTTTCGGATACTAACAAGTTCAAGAACCTCAGTTGAACTCAGACAGTCACTGAGATCAGCAGCAGCTTCAATCCCTTTCTCAAATGACTTAATTGATAAGGTTCTGAAAAGGGTTAGATTTTCTCATTCTAATCCATTACAGGCTTTGGAATTCTTTAAGTTTACATCTAGGAAAAAGGGGTTTTTGCATTCTGCATTTTCTTTGGATACAATGCTGTATGTTTTGGGTAGGAGCAGAAAATTTGATAATATTTGGGAGGTTTTGGTGGAAGCGAAGAAAAAGGATCAATCTTCGATCACTTCAAGAACTGTTCAAGTTGTCTTAGCTAGGATTGCTAAGGTTTGTTCAGTTAAGCAGACTGTGATTTCGTTTAAGCGGTTTCGAAGGCTTGTTTTGGAGTTTGATACTAGTTGTTACAATGCACTGTTTAGGACATTGTGTCAAGAGAAGAGTATGAGTGATGCCAGGAATGTGTATCATAACTTGAAGCATGAGTTTAGGCCGAATTTGCAGACTTTTAATATATTGTTGTCTGGTTGGAAGTCAACTGATGAGGCCGAGGGCTTTTTTGAGGAGATGAGGGAAATGGGGGTTGAACCTGATATTGTTTCTTATAACTGTTTGGTGGATGTGTATTGTAAGACGAGAGAAATCGATAAGGCGTATAGGGTGGTGGAGGAGATGAGGGAGAGGGATATTAGTCCAGATGTGATTACATATACGAGTTTGATTGGTGGTTTGGGGCTTGTGGGGCAACCTGATAAGGCAAGGGATGTTTTGGAAGAGATGAGAGAGTATGGATGCTATCCTGATGTCGCAGCTTACAATGCTGCTATTAGAAATTTCTGTATTGCAAAGAGGATTGGGGATGCCTACGGTTTGATGAATGAGATGGTAAAGAAGGGGTTGAGCCCAAATGCAACTACTTATAATATTTTGTTGAGGACATTTTATTGGTGGAATGATTTGATAAGTTCATGGAACTTGTACCTGAGAATGAGGGAAACAGGGTGTCTACCAAACACTCAATCTTGTATGTTTTTGATCAGGTTGTTGAGAAGGCACGAGAAGGTTGAAATGGCACTTGAGCTATGGAATGATATGGTGGAGATGGGGTTTGGCTCTTATATATTGGTCTCTGACGTTTTGTTTGATTTGCTTTGTGACATGGGGAAGTTGGATGAGGCTGAGAGGTCTTTCTTGCAGATGGTGGAGAAAGGGCAAAAACCAAGTAATGTTTCATTTAGGAGGATTAAGGTGCTTATGGAATTGGCTAATAGGCAGGATGCTCTTCGTAATTTGTCAGAGAAGATGGCTCTTTTTGGCGGATCTATTAAACTTGCTGGGAGTGAAGAGAGTGACTTGGAAACATCAGGCTCCATGACTTGCTGAATACAATTTTCCAACTATTCCATCCATGAAGTATACTGCCAGGATGCTGAGATCAACATTTTGTTGCCATGTCAGCAGAAATTTTTATCAATTGCGCCTCCAGAGGTGCATCTATATGACATGCCAGTTTCTCGCAATTGCGTGTCCAGAAGTGCATTTGTATGACATGCCAGTTTCTTGTTAATTAGATTAGGCAGAGTGTCAACATGTTCTAGCTATGTTGCAATCAGTTTGAGTGGTGGCTGAGTAGAGCTGCTGATCTGATCCTTTTTTTTCTTTTTCCTTTTATGGGTAGCAATCATCATTCTTGCTGATGTTTTTGGCTGCTCAAACTTTGAAATTGCTTTCATTTAGATGTATACCACAAGTAAAATTTTGGTTGTAGTTGTTTCCCTCAGAGCTTAAATCTTTTGATGACAATTTGTCACTCATAGAGTTATTAATTGAATCCGCTTCTAGGTTTTGTTCCACCCTTGTGGGATTGATAAAAGATTGCACAAGAATCAGAATGACTTGCTGCTTCTGGAAGTTTGTTCTGTTGGTTTTAAAGATGTTCGATCAGAGAGTTTTCAACTTTCGTTTTTATGTTCCTTAATGGGTAACTTTGCAACTAGGTTTGTCGTGGAGCTCGAGATGTTCATCGTGTTGCCATATGTGGCTTTTGTTCATCAGACGCAGGGCACTCTGTTGGTGCTTTCCTTTAGCTTCATTCAACTGACGCACAAAGCACGTTAGTCTTCTCATTTTGTGTCGCAAGTACACCAGCAGTTACTTTAGATCATAAAATCAAACTAAATGTGAATGGAGAAATGCTATTTCAAGGTTTGTCTTTTAGAGTCTCATATTTCTGTGCACAAAGGTGAGTTACATGATTAAGAAGTTAATTGAATGGCCTTACATGTTGGTTTCTTAACAATCAAATTACTTGTCTATGACTTCTCTCTGACGCTGAGGACAAAATTATTTGAATGCAGAAAATCCATGGGGAAGCTGTGAGTTATTGAGAAAACAATGCTGAAACTACAAGAAGGTTGACCTGGTAGTGGTAAATTTAATTAGGTAAGCCATCCTTTATTCTTCGTTCCAATTAAAAGATCCAACAGTAACATCAAGTTACATGTACTTGTGCAAATCCACATAATCCTTAGTTTCCTCTTTTTTTGTTGAATCACAAAATCCTATGTTCTCAATTCATTGCTAGTTTGTTGTCAAATAATTTAGCTTATGTTTTGAAGTTTAATAAAAATTAGTTCTAGTAAAACTAATGTTTAGCTTGTGGTTGGACCTTCTTGTATACCCTTAATGAACTTTGACACAAAGATGGATCATTTTCTGAATAAGTTTGGGATGTACCAATGTATAGCTTCTGTACCGTCTCGTAAAGGTGAATTTCAATATTAGTTCCTACCTTTAGGAGCTTCTGAAAAAATGTAATTATTATTTTCACCATTAGTTTGGGTTTCCTAAATCATATAATTATGGAGACTATCTTTTAGAAACCTGAATCTAGTAATCAATCGTTGAGCTTCTACAAAGTGTTACAAAACCACACTAAGATTCACACATGAAAAGAACAAAGGACATAAAATGAGAAATTTTGAAGCGGATTTAGATTTCTATGAGTTTAGTAATTGATAGTGAACAAAAAGAAAACTGAATTGTTTTATTTTGTTCTAGGCTCTGTACAATATTTATACAAATGGAATTTGATTTTTGTCAATTCAATGAAATCTGTAATCTCCTAAAAATTAGGAGCTAATTTATTCTATCCTAAAATACATTAGGAGTAAATTATTCTATCCTAAAATAGATCAGAAATCATGGGATATACATAGAATTTATAGCTGTACAAAAAAGATATTCTAGATTTTCAACACTCCCCCTCAAGATGGTGAATAGATATTTTCCATTCCCATCTTGCATGTAGTGTCTTCAAAGTTGGAAGTTGGCATTCCCTTAGTTAACACATTTGCCAATTGATTATTTGATGTTACATAAGGAGTGCAAATCATGCCGCTGTCCAGCTTTTCTTTAATAACATGTCTATCTACTTTGATGTGCTTTGTGCGATCATGTTGCACTGGATTGTGTGCAATGTTGATGGCAGACTTGTTGTCGCAATAGAGTTTCATAGGTCCTTCCCACTTGATTTTAAGGTCATCAAGTATTATTTTGAGTCATAGCAATTCACAAACTCCATGAGCCATAGCTCTAAACTCTGTTTCAGCATTTGATCTTGCAACAACCGATTGCTTCTTACTCCTCCATGTCACTAGGTTCCCATCAAGAAATGTACAATATCCTAAAGTTGATCTACGATCTACAACAGAACCTGCATAATCAACATCAGTATATGCCTCTATGAGCAATCCTTCATTTTTCTTGAACAAAATTCCTCTACTCGGTGTCCCTTTGAGGTAGGATAGAATTCTGTTGACAGCCTGCAAGTGTTTCTCTCTTGGATCATGCATAAATTGGCTTACTACACTTACGGCAAATGCTATGTTCGGCCTTGTATGGGACAAGTATATCTCAGACAGTCACTGAGATCAGCAGCAGCTTCAATCCCTTTCTCAAATGACTTAATTGATAAGGTTCTGAAAAGGGTTAGATTTTCTCATTCTAATCCATTACAGGCTTTGGAATTCTTTAAGTTTACATCTAGGAAAAAGGGTTTTTGCATTCTGCATTTTCTTTGGATACAATGCTGTATGTGTTGGGTAAAAAAATTAATATTTGGGAGGTTTTGGTGGAACGAAGAAAAAGGATCAATCTTCGATCACTTCAAGAACTGTTCAAGTTGTCTTAGCTAGGATTGCTAAGGTTTGTTCAGTTAAGCAGACTGTGATTTCGTTTAAGCGGTTTCGAAGGCTTGTTTTGGAGTTTGATACTAGTTGTTACAATGCACTGTTTAGGACATTGTGTCAAGAGAAGAGTATGAGTGATGCCAGGAATGTGTATCATAACTTGAAGCATGAGTTTAGGCCGATTTGCAGACTTTAATATATTGTTGTCTGGTTGGAAGTCAACTGATGAGGCCGAGGCTTTTTTGAGGAGATGAGGGAAATGGGGTTGAACCTGATATGTTTCTTATAAGATGTGTATTGTAAGACGAGAGAAATGGATAAGGCGTATAGGGTGGTGGAGGAGATTGAGGGAGAGGGATATTAGTCCAGATGTGATTACATATACGAGTTTGATTGGTGGTTTGGGGCTTGTGGGGCAACCTGATAAGGCAACGGATGTTTTGGAAGAGATGAGAGAGTATGGATGCTATCCTGATGTGGCAGCTTACAATGCTGCTATTAGAAATTTCTGTATTGCAAAGAGGATTGGGGATGCCTATGGTTTGATGAATGAGATGGTAAAGAAGGGGTTGAGCCCAAATGCAACTACTTATAATATTTTGTTGAGGACATTTTATTGGTGGAATGATTTGATAAGTTCATGGAACTTGTACCTGAGAATGAGGGAAACAGGGTGTCTACCAAACACTCAATCTTGTATGTTTTTGATCAGGTTGTTGAGAAGGCACGAGAAGGTTGAAATGGCACTTGAGCTATGGAATGATATGGTGGAGATGGGGTTTGGCTCTTATATATTGGTCTCTGACGTTTTGTTTGATTTGCTTTGTGACATGGGGAAGTTGGATGAGGCTGAGAGGTCTTTCTTGCAGATGGTGGAGAAAGGGCAAAAACCAAGTAATGTTTCATTTAGGAGGATTAAGGTGCTTATGGAATTGGCTAATAGGCAGGATGCTCTTCGTAATTTGTCAGAGAAGATGGCTCTTTTTGGCGGATCTATTAAACTTGCTGGGAGTGAAGAGAGTGACTTGGAAACATCAGGCTCCATGACTTGCTGAATACAATTTTCCAACTATTCCATCCATGAAGTATACTGCCAGGATGCTGAGATCAACATTTTGTTGCCATGTCAGCAGAAATTTTTATCAATTGCGCCTCCAGAGGTGCATCTATATGACATGCCAGTTTCTCGCAATTGCGTGTCCAGAAGTGCATTTGTATGACATGCCAGTTTCTTGTTAATTAGATTAGGCAGAGTGTCAACATGTTCTAGCTATGTTGCAATCAGTTTGAGTGGTGGCTGAGTAGAGCTGCTGATCTTGATCCTTTTTTTCTTTTTCCTTTTATGGGTAGCAATCATCATTCTTGCTGATGTTTTTGGCTGCTCAAACTTTGAAATTGCTTTCATTTAGATGTATACCACAAGTAAAATTTTGGTTGTAGTTGTTTCCCTCAGAGCTTAAATCTTTTGATGACAATTTGTCACTCATAGAGTTATTAATTGAATCCGCTTCTAGGTTTTGTTCCACCCTTGTGGATTGATAAAAGATTGCACAAGAATCAGAATGACTTGCTGCTTCTGGAAGTTTGTTCTGTTGGTTTTAAAGATGTTCGATCAGAGAGTTTTCAACTTTCGTTTTTATGTTCCTTAATGGGTAACTTTGCAACTAGGTTTGTCGTGGAGCTCGAGATGTTCATCGTGTTGCCATATGTGGCTTTTGTTCATCAGACGCAGGGCACTCTGTTGGTGCTTTCCTTTAGCTTCATTCAACTGACGCACAAAGCACGTTAGTCTTCTCATTTTGTGTCGCAAGTACACCAGCAGTTACTTTAGATCATAAAATCAAACTAAATGTGAATGGAGAAATGCTATTTCAAGGTTTGTCTTTTAGAGTCTCATATTTCTGTGCACAAAGGTGAGTTACATGATTAAGAAGTTAATTGAATGGCCTTACATGTTGGTTTCTTAACAATCAAATTACTTGTCTATGACTTCTCTCTGACGCTGAGGACAAAATTATTTGAATGCAGAAAATCCATGGGGAAGCTGTGAGTTATTGAGAAAACAATGCTGAAACTACAAGAAGGTTGACCTGGTAGTGGTAAATTTAATTAGGTAAGCCATCCTTTATTCTTCGTTCAATTAAAAGATCCAACAGTAACATCAAGTTACATGTACTTGTGCAAATCCACATAATCCTTAGTTTCCTCTTTTTTTGTTGAATCACAAAATCCTATGTTCTCAATTCATTGCTAGTTGTTGTCAATAATTTAGCTTATGTTTTGAAGTTTAATAAAAATTAGTTCTAGTAAAACTAATGTTTAGCTTGTGGTTGGACCTTCTTGTATACCCTTAATGAACTTTGACACAAAGATGGATCATTTTCTGAATAATTTTGGGATGTACCAATGTATAGCTTCTGTACCGTCTCATAAAGGTGAATTTCAATATTAGTTCCTACCTTTAGGAGCTTCTGAAAAAATGTAATTATTATTTTCACCATTAGTTTGGGTTTCCTAAATCATATAATTATGGAGACTATCTTTTAGAAACCTGAATCTAGTAATCAATCGTTGAGCTTCTACAAAGTGTTACAAAACCACACTAAGATTCACACATGAAAAGAACAAAGGACATAAAATGAGAAATTTTGAAGCGGATTTAGATTTCTATGAGTTTAGTAATTGATAGTGAACAAAAAGAAAACTGAATTGTTTTATTTTGTTCTAGGCTCTGTACAATATTTATACAAATGGAATTTGATTTTTGTCAATTCAATGAAATCTGTAATCTCCTAAAAATTAGGAGCTAATTTATTCTATCCTAAAATACATTAGGAGTAAATTATTCTATCCTAAAATAGATCAGAAATCATGGGATATACATAGAATTTATAGCTGTACAAAAAAGATATTCTAGATTTTCAACACTCCCCCTCAAGATGGTGAATAGATATTTTCCATTCCCATCTTGCATGTAGTGTCTTCAAAGTTGGAAGTTGGCATTCCCTTAGTTAACACATTTGCCAATTGATTATTTGATGTTACATATGGAGTGCAAATCATGCCGCTGTCCAGCTTTTCTTTAATAACATGTCTATCTACTTTGATGTGCTTTGTGCGATCATGTTGCACTGGATTGTGTGCAATGTTGATGGCAGACTTGTTGTCGCAATAGAGTTTCATAGGTCCTTCCCACTTGATTTTAAGGTCATCAAGTATTATTTTGAGTCATAGCAATTCACAAACTCCATGAGCCATAGCTCTAAACTCTGTTTCAGCATTTGATCTTGCAACAACCGATTGCTTCTTACTCCTCCATGTCACTAGGTTCCCATCAAGAAATGTACAATATCCTAAAGTTGATCTACGATCTACAACAGAACCTGCATAATCAACATCAGTATATGCCTCTATGAGCAATCCTTCATTTTTCTTGAACAAAATTCCTCTACTCGGTGTCCCTTTGAGGTAGGATAGAATTCTGTTGACAGCCTGCAAGTGTTTCTCTCTTGGATCATCATAAACTTACTACACTTACGGCAAATGCTATGTTCGGCCTTGTATGGGACAAGTATATCAGTTTCCCAACCAATGGCTGATATCTTTCCTTATCTACTATGCTATCATCCTTCTCTTCAATATCAAGTTAGGCTCAATGGGTGTGTTTGCTGCCTTGCATCCAAAATTGCCTGTTTCTTTAAGCAAGTCTAAGACATACTTTGTTGGGAAACAAAGATGCCTTTACTTGAGTATGCCACCTCAATGCCTAAAAATACTTCAGCCTCCCTAGTTCTTTAATTTCAAACTCCTTTGCTAAGTACTTTTTGAGTGTTTCTCTTTCGATTGGATCATTTCCGATGATGATGATGTCATCTACATATACAAGTAGAGCTGTAACACCTCCTTTTGAATGTTTTATGAACAAGGTATGATCTCTTGACTTTGTTTGTATTGCATTACTAGCATCACTTTAGTAAATCTTCCGAACCAAACCCTTGGCGATTGTTTTAATCCATATAAAGCTTTCTTTAACCTGCACACTTTCTTTTCAAAAACATTTCATTGAAACCCGGTGGAGGTTCCATGTACACCTCTTCTTCTAAATCCCCATGTAAGAATGCATTCTTAACATCAAATTGCTAAACACCAACCAAAGTTAGTGGCTAAAGACAAAAGAACATGCACAGTATTCATTTTTGCAACGGGTGCAAAGGTCTCTTGGTAATCTATCCCATATGTCTGTGTATATCTTTTGCAACCAACCGAGCTTTATGCCTTTCTAATGAACCATCAGCTCTATATTTCAAAGTAAACACCCATTTACACCCCATTGTTTTCTTTCCTTTAGGCAGTTTACAATTTTTCAAGTCTTATTTCTCTCTAGGCATTCATCACCTCTTTCATAGCTTGTAACCAGTTCTTATTTCTAAGTGTCTCTTGTAGTGTTTGTGGGATTGAAATGGAGTTGATGGTGGTAAGAAAGTTTTATGTTGTGGAGAGAGTCTATGGAAAGACACGAAATTTGAGATTGGATGCTTAGTGCGTTCTCGTGTTCCTTTTTGATAGGCAGGTCAATTAAAACAGCAGAGTCAGATTGAACACACAAAGGAACAGAATTTTCATACCTGATTGTGGTTCAGATTCTTGGATTTGCACAGTTCAGAAATTGAACTTTTTCCTTGAGTAGACCTTGAGTGGTGTAGTTGGATTTAAACCAGTTTTTCTCTCAGCTCCAAGATCAGGTTCAATTTCTTTACTGGCATGTTCAACTTCAAATTCAGGTTCAGTTCACTGCTACATGTTCTCCTTTGGAATTTGGTGTAGGTCAGGTTTGAAAGATTTCAAGTTTAGTGTAGGACTTTGAAATTAAGGAAAATTCTTATCTTCCAAGAACTCTCCCCCTGGAGATGAGGATTGTTACTTTGAGAGTAAGATTCATTTTCAACAAATGTGACATCCATAGAGGTAAAATTTTTTTGAAGGTGGATGATAACACTTGTATCCTTTCTTTGTGTTTGAGTATCCCACAAAAATACATTTTAAAGCTCTTGGATCAAGTTTCCCTCTTTGGTGTGCATGAACATGTACAAAAGCAACACAACCAAACACTTTTGGTGACAATGTGCAAGAGACATTAAAATCAGGGTAAAAAAGAAAGAGCAGCAATGGGACTCTGATTATTTAGCACTTTGAAAGGTACTCTATTTATCAAATGTGCAGCAGTTAAAATAGCTCCCCAAAAAGGTTTTTGGAACTTTATGTTGAAACAAAATTGCTCGAGTCACATTGAGTAAATGTCTATTTTTCGTTCAGCAATCCCATTTTGTTGGGGTGTGTCTATACAGGATGACTCATGTATTATACCCTTTTTTGAAAAAAGATGAGAGAATTTGATTAAAATAGTCTGTTGATTGTCAATCTTACTCTTTTAATCAAACTTCCAAATTGTGTACAAATCATTTTATGAAACATTGGAAAAATACTGCTTACTTCTGATTTTTCTTTCATAAGAAATAACCAAGTAGTTCTAGTACAATCATCAATGAATGTGACAAACCATTTTGCTCCAGAAATACTAGAAACTCTACAAGGCCCCCAAATATCAGTATGTATCAAAGAGAAAGGTCTAGTAGATCTTGTATTACTCAATGAAATGATAGTCTATGATGTTTAGCAATTTCATATGTATCACAATGAAAACTATAACATCTTATTCTTAAAAAGTGAAGGAAACATTTTTAAGTAAAATAAAAGATGGATGACCAAGACGGAAATGATGAAGCCAAATTTCAGATTTATTATTTGAGGAGCAGGTGAGGGATAACTGATTATTGTTCTTCTTGTTGCCACTCATTTCCTCAAGGTAATAAAGCCCATCATTCACCTTAGCAAGTCCAATCGTCCTCCCCGTAACAAATCCTGAAAAACACAGTGAGAGTAGAATAAGATCTTTGGTAATTTGATGGATGGATATGAGATTGGAGAACAATTTTGGGACGTACAACACATTATTTAGGGACAAAGAATTTGATAGATTTACTGTCCCTTGGCCTGCAACAGTTATAGGAGATCCATCCGCAATAGTAATTTTTCTATTTCAGGACATGGGTTGTATGTTCTAAATTGATTGGGCTATCAGTCATATAGTCAGTACTCTGAGTCGATGACCCAAGAGCCTAGAGAAGACATGCTTGAGGCACTTAAACATAAGAGTTAGGTACTTACCTGATTGAGCCAATGAACACGTACTAGAGGACTTTTCAAGGGAATTTAGGAGGTTTCTTAGCTTTTCGATTTCTTCTTTCTTAAATTCTCCTATACCAGCCTGGTTGGATTTTTCTTGTGTTTGGTCTTCTCCATCAGTTAAGTGGGCTTTTCCTCCTTTGAATCCTCCTTTACGACTAAAGACTTGTTTCTTCCCATGGAGTTTGAAGCAATCATCTCGCGTATGGCATGATTTTTTGCAGTATGTGCACCAAATTGTGTCTTTATTTGACTCTGTACGTCCACTACCTATCTTTGCTTCCTTATTGTTTGACTTTGTAGAAATCATTGCCGAGCCTTCTAATGTTTTAGGCTCCAACATTACTTCTCGCCTATTCTCTTCAACTCGAATCAATGATATTGTCTCATTCAGAGATGATAATCTTTCCTTCCCCAATATCAGGACTCTGACTTGATCAAATTCCACATTCAGACCTGCAAGGAAGTCATAAACTCTATCCTTTTCGATAAAGTTTTTCAAGGTGGCTGCGTCTTCACTATACAAGATCTGAACACATTGATATTGGTCCAGTTCCTGCCATAGATTTTGCAGAAAACAGAAAGGTTGCCTTGTTTAGTGGCTGAGATCTTTGTTTTGATCTCATAGATTAGGGCAGCATCTCCTGCCTTTGAATAGGTCTATCAAATAGTAGTCCATATATCTTTAACTGTTGGTAGGAACATGCAGTATCGCTTATTTCAGGTAACAAGGAGTTCAGTTCTGCCGATATTGGTCCAATTCTTGCCATAAATTTTGCAGAAGATAGGCATATTGAGTAACAGAAAGGTTGCCTTGTTTAGTGGCTGAGATCTTTGTTTTGATCTCATAGATTAAGGCAGCATCTCCTGCCTTTGAATAGGTCTGTCGACTAGTAGTCCATATATTTTTAGCTGTTGGTAGGAACATGCAAGTATCGCTTATTTCAGGTAACATGGAGTTCCACAGCCATGACATGACCATAGAATCCTCTTCATCCCAAGCAGCGAATTTAGGATCTCCCTTTTTCGGTCCAGTTCCAAGCAAGTGGCTGATTTTGCCCTTTCCTTTGAAAATGTTTGAACAAATTGTGACCACTTCAAATAGTTTTTTCCGTTGAGCCTGTAGGCTGCCTGGATATTCTGCAAATCCCCTGTTTGTGGAATATTTGAGGTCTCTTCTGATTTGGTATTGGAGTTGATTTCTGATGTTTCAGTTTCATACACGTTGGAAGTTTCAAAAAAAAAAATTGGCAATGAAGGCCTAATGAAAAAAATCAGCAATTAAGGCTAGAAATTGCATTTGGCAATAAAGACTTGAAAAGAAGAAAGCACTCAGCTTTGAAGGCTGACAAGAAGAGGTTCCAAGAGCAAAAGCTCTGATACCATGAACAAAAAGAAAACTGAATTGTTCTATTTTGTTCTAGACTCTGTACAACATTTATACAAATGGAATTTGACTTTTGTTAATTTTATGAAATCTGTAATCTCCTAGAAATGAGGAGCTAATTTATTCTATCCTAAAATACATTAGGAGTAAATTATTCTATCCTAAAATAGAGTAGAAATCATGGGATATACATAGAATTTATAGCTGTACAAAAAAGATATTCTAGATTTTCAACAGACAGCACTTGAAGAACCGTGAAAGATTAATTGGTCTGACACAAATACTTCAGACATCTAACGTGGAATGAAAAGTTCCCTTTCCCAAATTTCTCCACCTACAAAAATGAAAGGTAAGCGCATTAAACTACAACAATGGTGATTGCTTAGATGAATTGATCAAATCAATAAATGAGAATAATAAAAAGAAAGGTATCATAACCTTAAAGTTGTCTATTCTAATTCAGTGAATCAGAAATTCAGTGAAAACACAATAAACTATCAGTCTCACTAATTATCAGAAATGGCTTTGGATCCTGTGAGGTCATCCTTTTGGTTATGGCCTTGAGTGATATCTTGATTCATAGACTGGAGATCTTAAAGTTGTTATTTTTGAATAATGGGGCAATGAGACATGCTCCAAAAACTTGATATCAGCTATACAAATATAAGACCAGACCCGCTATATGAATAATAGCTTATTAAGCACAAAGATAGTAAGTAACTGAATATACATAGGGCAACTGTGAGAAGCATAGTTTATCTTAAGAATGTAAACATTTGATGATATAGATAACAAAGTTGTACAAGGAAACAATATAAAATCACAGAATGTGTGTTCTAGTTACCTCATTTATCTGGATATTTAGTTTCTTCTTCCATGCGCTTGTGACATGTTTTTGGTTTTTCCAGCTGATTATACAGTTTTTCTCTTTCCAAACAAGAGTACACTATTACTATATGCTTCTTCTTCAATGAATCTTACCAATCTTCTTGGTTTTCCAGTAACAAACATTAGAAGACCAGAGCTATGCCAAGAACAAGTCCACAACCATATCCTATGAACACTGATTTCCAGGTAAATCCACCCATGAAACTGAATCCTGCCTTGTTCCAATGCCTCGTCTGGGGGCGCTTGTGGCACATGCATTTCTTCACAGCTTTTTGTTAGTGGGAATCCACATAATCCTGAGTTTCCGCTGTATGAATCTTCACCAAGTGTGCGCAATTGATTGCCTTGAGGAATGCGCCCAATAAGATGATTGCATGATAAGTTTAGGACTTCAAGAGATGTGAGATTCGTTAGCTGCATTGGAATCTCTCCTCCAATTTGGTTTCTTGAAAGGTCTAATGTTTCAAGAAATTTCAGGTTCCCAATAGCTGGTGGAATGTGGCCAGAAAAGTTATTGTTGGATAAGTTCAACAACTTGAGGGAGTAGAGATTTCCAATGACATCTGGGATCCTCCCATGAAACATGTTGCTCGACAGATCAATGGTTGTGAGAGTTCTAATGATTTTGGTGAACTCAATCTCATAGCCTTTGGATGTCATGTTGACAGAGTATGGATAATTTGTCGTATTGCCGGTTGCATGCAAGTATTTAGATTCTGATTTGTTGCTTTGTAAGCTCATCATGGCCCTGAAGCTTTCCAAAAGTTCTGTAGATAGAACACCGCTGAACTCATTGCAAGAGAGGGCGAAGATTTGCAACTTTTGGAATGGGCTCTTAGCCTTGAAAATGCTAATGGGTCCAAAGAATCTGTTATAACTCAACACAAGAACTTGGAGCTCCGTAAGATTTTGTAACCATGCTGGAAATATATCTTTCAGACGGTTGTTCCCCACATCAAGGACTTCTAAGTACTTGCAGTTGGCCAAAGTTTCTGGCAGCGGCCCTTCCAAGAAATTTGTATTCAGACCAAGATACCTCAATCTGCTATCTTTTGCAAATACCATTGAATTAATGGTCCTTTGCAGGCGATTTCCTTCCAAATTCAAGACCACAAGTTGACTAGAAAAGTTCCCAAAACACCGAGGAATTGCACCAGTAAATTTGTTCCTTGACAAATCAAGAATTGCTAGAGCTTTCAAATTGCAAATGAAAAGAGGCAATTGTCCTTGGATTTGGTTGAATCGAACATCTAGAACCCTTAGATTCTTCCAAGGTAATGCATCCATCCCAGAAAGGTGGTTGTAAGATAGATTTAGATACAGAAGTGAATCCCAAGGCATGGATGTCACCCAGCTGGGAATCTGACCTTGAATCTTATTGCCAGCGAGCTGTAGAACTTCTAACTTCTTTGAGCTTCTGAGAAATTCTGGAAAAGCCTTCATCTCGCAAGAAGATAGCTCCAAACGATGAAGGTTTGGTAAAGAGTTGCTGACATTCCCGCTGGTGCTCCATGATATTCGATTATTAGAGAGAACAAGGTACTCAAGACTATCACTGGATAGTTCAAGCACGCCACTCAAATTATTTGATGAGAGGTCAAGGAAACCTAAAAATGGGAGTGTTGAAATTGATTTAGGAATTTGACCATATAATTGGTTATTACTCAAATCAATTTTCATCAGTGACATTCCATTGAGCTCTTCGATTTGTCCTGTTAGGAGATTGTTTTTGAGAAGCAAAGTTGTGAGTAACTGCAGGCTAAATAACCATGTCGGTGCTGTGCCATGGAGCGAGTTGTTTGAAAGATATAGAAAAGACAATCCCTGAAGGCCACTCACGTTTGATGGAAGAGGACCAGTTATCGAATTGGATCGTAGATCCAGTGTCTGGAGATTGGTAAGGTTCGCAATGGTGAATGGGAAAGGGCCAACCAAACGGTTGTCTGGCAATGACAATTGAGTTAGTTTTTGGAGATTTGTGAAACAATCTGGTATTTGGCCTTGCACTTGGTTGCCTGTAAGGTCTAAAACTTCCAGTTGGACAAGATTTGAGATCACCGATGGAAGAGGCCCACTGAAACTGTTATGAGTCAGAGACATTGTAGTGAGCTGAGAAAGGTTTCCAATTGACTCAGGAAGGCGACCAGTGAACTGACATCCATCGAGCAACATGCTGTTCAAGAACTTCAAGCAGCCAAATGTGTTGGGAAGTTCCCAGAAAAATTTGTGTCAGCAAGATCTAAGTATGACAACATATATGAAGCAGTGCAGTTAAAGTTCGGTAAACTTCCAGTGACTTGAGTTCCATCTAGTATGAGTTGTTGCAATTTTGCTAGAGAGAAAATATGGTCTGGTAGCTTACCATAAACTTGAGTTTGACCCAGATCCACAATTGTAAAGATGAAGAAAAGTTCTTGGGGAACTCGGAGAAGATACTAACGTTAGAAAGAGAAAGTATTCTAACCTGAGTTATGTTTTGAAGAAGCAGTTGGAAATCCTGATGTTCAAACTCAATAGGATTTTGGGAGAGATCGAGTGAAACTAAATTTGACAGTAAAGATATTTGGGATGGAATTTGACCGTAGAAATTGGAATTGGAGAGATTGAGGTTTGTTAAACTAGTCAAGCCACCAATGCCATGAGAAATTGGTGAATTCTTGAAGTCGTTGTAAGCTAGATTAAGCTTTTGGAGGCGAGAAAGATTGAACAGGCTACTATTAGCATGGATGGATCCTTGAAGTTGGCTGCAACTAAGGTCTATGCCAATTACATGGCCTGCACTCTATGGCATGTTACCCCATCCCAGGTGCAGCAATCAGAAGTTTTGTTCCATGATATCATCTTTGGATATGCATATTCGCAGTAGGCAGAAGCATCTGTTGATGTTTGAAACATTTGCTTAAGCTGAAGTAGAGCAAGACCCTCATCATGGTGACACAAATGAGGTGAAAGGAGGACAAACTGGTAATTTCTCGAGATTGCAATGAA